AAACCAATCGTAGAGAATCTCAAATGATCAGTGAATTTCGATTATCGATTAACTGAAATGTGTTCAATATCGACTAGACGGACGCAGACGCCTTCTCTGGCTACAGAATACATTCCTATTGAGACTCTCGTAGATTGTAGATCAATTTCTACCTTTGCGTTACGTTTACATGGTCCAATTTGCTTGCTTAGTTGCCGCATCATTCGCTCCTTCTCCGAGTGGACTAATACTCCAGCTGATTTGTTCATTTCTTGCTGTTGACGGCGGTACTCAGCCCATTTACCATCGCGCATCATCCTGACGTGCCGACTCGTCTGTTTCATCAGGGGCATTCGATAGACTGCCGCATCCACATTCGATAAACACCAGAAGACGAAGCTAAACGCCACCAAGAGCAGCAGCCATGAAAGCCTGCTACGAAGCATCGTTCCAGTGAAAAACAACGGTGGATTTGGGTTCAGTGGATGAGCGACTGATTAGTTGACGACTCGGGAACACACTCGGTATCGGGCCGTCTGGCGTGGCAAGCAAAAATTCAGTTTAACTCAAACAAGGTCAAGCAGCCTATCGGGAACCAGTCAAAGTAAAACAAGCACCGGAGCATCATCAGCACAAGCTTATAAAGTGTGATATCGTTATCTGCATTCCAATCAGCAGACAGTATGGTATGACGATAATGATAGTGCAATCTCAATAATACCTCGGCTCGGGTCTGTCTCAAATTACTGGTATTCTGATAAGGTTGAGAAGCAATCGCAAATAAATCCGATGGAATTCGAATGAGCACATTATTTGCTCGCTCTCTGAGTGAATAGATCCAATGATAGGCTATAGACAGCGCTAAAAATAGTAACTGAAAAGGGCTTACTACGATAGAATGTGGCCTTATCAGCATTCCAAACGTGCAAACTCAATTTGCAATGGTGATCTCTGGATAATGTTGATACTGTCTGGGCTCCAGAAAGTCGACGAGACGCCTGAAGTACACCCTTTACTGATAAGGTTTACGATGGAGTTCGTTGGTGACTTTGAACCCGTCTCCTGACATCTGCATCCTATCATTCGGGGCAGACAAAAAAAGTTATATGGCGATGCTCTTGCAAATGATTTATTCAGTTGCAACTGGACTGGAATGTCTGCTTGTTTAGTGGTATCGTTTGCGTGTTCTTTGAGTGATTGACTCCAAATGATAAGGTGATAAAAGCACTTTGAGCATGAATATTCCTTGTCTGCCATAATAATCATTCGAATGCTCATATTCAGCTACGAAATAGCCATCGAACAACGGTGACTGCCGCGTTCGGCATGCAGATTTGCCGGCAATGATCTGCTGAAATGATCAACAGATCAAATGTGATTTCTTTGGTGTTGATCAAATGATAGCTAGTCATTCGGTTGATCCGCTAGATTTTTACAGAAATACGTTACTGTTAAAATGGGGAGTTTGTGTGGTGTGCAATTGTCTGTGGACATGGATATGAGGATATAGGATTTAGCGTGCGAGTTTTTAAGTGCTCTTTCTAGTAAGAGCTCTTTCACTTTGTGTTTCGTAAAAATTTTTTGCATACTTATGATCAGCTCGACGAGCTAGCTCTTCAATCTAATGTATATTTCATCACGAAAGGCCAGATTAAGTTTGTGACCTTAGGTGTTACGGGCTCATATAAACGGACTGAAGGGCTCTTCCAAATTCTCCGCCAGTAAAATTGCCCACATTCACATGTAATTTTAAAAACCCATCCAGTCTTATTGCATGCTCCGTCGCAATTGTTTGGGCATATTATACCCGAAAAGGTTTTCCATTGATCAAGCTTGATCGTATAGTTTAAGATCATTTGCTATTGATCTGCTTATTTTGGGACATAATATTTTATTGTTTGTAACTAACGATGATCCATAGTTAAATGATATCTGTAAAAAACAACGAAACATGAGCTCAAGCTTAAACTCAAACTCTAGATTGTTTTAAGCCGATGAGATGACTGGTGAATCGGATTGAAAGCTGATCTTTAGCTCTTTGAAGTTAGAAGGTAATATTCA